ATGTAGAAAATACGTACGCTTGTGTTTTGAGTGGAGGGGGTGGTGATGAATAGGGGTAACTTTTATAATCATACTTCTTGTATATATATAAAAGGAACAGTGAGGAGTTATTGCTTCTACATGTGAAATTTGAGCAACCACCATCTCTACTTAATCATCAATTTGTATACATTTTTGTCCATTCTCAAATTTTCTTTAGTTTCTAGTTGTGAAGTAGAGAAAAGTTTAAACAAACTAATGTACTCCATGTTGACAGAATAGAAGAAAGTTCCATTGGCTAGAAATCAAACTAGATCCAACAACTTTTATAATTAATCAAAAGTAGAACTTTTTTTTTTGCTGGATTTACGATCTTGAGCATAGAAAGCCACATCGCCCAGAACTAGCATTTTTTTCACACACTGACGACAATCATTCGGCGTGGCTGTGCACACCTACAAATAAAACGGGCAAAGCTCAAAATTTCACCCCAAAGCTAAAATTCTCAATTCCCTAACTTTAGAACCCTAATCCCCAAATTCGTTGGTAAATGTGTTTGGATCAAAAGCACAATTAAGCATTAGGCTGAAAACAGATGCGATTGCTTCGTAAAAAAAATTCACCTCAAGTTGTCTCGTCCCTTATATTGTAAGTTCCTTTTTGTTTTATTTTGGTGTTGTTTATTGCAATAAACCTTGAAATTTTGGCTTTTTGGAGTTTGTATTTTAATATTTTTTATTCTATTGTTTTCTATTCGTGGCCCACTTCTTTTAATTATTTCGGTTTTTCTATTATTTTGGGTTTCTTTATTTTTTATTTGTTTATTGTTTTGAGGTTTATAAAATGTTCATGTGGAGTATTTGTTTATTGAAAATGCTTTCCTCAAATACTTACAAATCATTCTTCAGATTCTTTATAATTGGTTGTACATTGGAATGGAAAATTATCATGTCCCAACACCAAAATATAAAGGAGGTAAGATTTTTATAGTTGATTATGTCACCCCACAAGAATTTAGATTGTTGACTATCAAAGACTAATGCAAAAGTAAAGGGGTCACTGGAGATATGATGTTGTGTATGTATGATGGTCGTGGGTTTATGTTATTGTGCAGTGATAAAGACCTCACTAAATTTGTCGTAGTTATTTTTACCGAAGTTAAATCGAAAGATTCAATCCCCTGGTCGTATCTCAAGGAATGTTAGTCAGATTATAATGCACGTGTATTCAGCCACAATAAAAATAAAAAGAAACAAATTTTCTAAACACTCTAATTCAAATGAGTGGTTTTAATTATCAACTAGGAAGAACTTCAAATAAAGAAAATTGAAATAGCAAAGCACGGCGAGGAACAAGCAAGAATAAAGAAGCTAGGGAGTCGGGAATATCCGTTTTGGTTCGAAATGTAATTAACCTTCAAGTGATCGTTCGGTTAAATGATTCGAATAACCTACACGTCTAGAGATTAATCTTCAATAACTCTTCGTAACATGAGAATAAACATAAACGGAAAATCACTCAAATCAAGCAACATATAGACAATACAGTTAATTACAAGCTTATTTCATACGAGCCTAGATCGACCAACTCCTCCCCTTTCGGTTCTAAGAGTTGATTAAATTATCCTAGACGGAGTTTAATCGACTAAGCATTTAGAAAAACCAAAATCATACGAGAAATAATCAAATTCAATCGAAAGTCAATTGGAGATTGAAGTGTCGTCCTTCAACAATTCTCAACATTCAAGCACGATAATTAAAAAACCCTTTTTAAGAATAGCTCGCATAAATTGAACGATTCAACAAGCACGATAATCACAAACGAATTCAAGACATCATCATCCCTAGCTAAACGAATTAGCTACTCATATTGAATTCAACATAAGCATTCTTAACAACCCAAGCATTCATATCCATAGATTAATTGAAAAGGAAAGCTTACGATTGAATAAGAAATCCCAAGTTGAAAACAATGAATAAATCCAAGCGCAAATCCACGATCAATTGTGAGTTCTAAGGTGCAAAAAATAAATAAAAAACGAGATTTCGAATCCCCTAAGGTCTGGGGCGGGAGGTCATCCAAATATATAGGGCTCGAAAAACCGAGCAAAAACGAGAAAAAACAGGAAAAAATAAAAAACAGGGTCGTCGAAGTCGCGAGTCGCGACCTGGCGTCGCGAGTTGCACCGGAGGCTTTGTTTAAGTCGCGGGTCGCGACTTGGCGCTCGCGAGTCGCTACCTGAAGTCGCGGGTCGCGACTTGGGCTGCACTGCATGACTTTACGTTTCGGGCTCGTTTGGGCTCGTCTAAATTCGGAATTGAGTTCCGTTTTTTGCCACGCATTGCCAACGAACACCTATATTCAATTATGCTCTCAAAACTATTTTTTCCAGAAAATAATATTTGCCCAAAGCTTATGACCTGCACACCAAAAATAACAAGAACCCGAAGAAAACAACGACACACGAACGAAAACACATAAAGACTCAAAATAAAGAAAAATACGCAATAAAACACAAAACGGACTAAGAATGGAAGAAACGACCTAAGACGGGGGGAAAAAAGAAAAGAAAAACAAGCACGAAAAATGCAAAAAAAAAAAAAATGGGACAAACAAACTCACCCACACTTAAACCTTTGTTCGTCCCGAACAAAAAGAAAAGAAAAGGCACAAAACTAAAAACGAGCCTGGACAACAGTCATTAACAAGAGAAGCCTCAAAATGTTCAACTTCAATAACGAGCATTAAAATGGCATATAAAGGCATCACACAACTACATGCTTGATCACTATGCTTTGACATGGCGTTCTCTAAAGTATGGGAATATATATGTGTGCCTCACTCAGACTCTTCTACAGATAAAGATAGGTTCACTCAAATTGGTCGATAAACAAGTTCAATCATAAGTTTGCCCATTGTCTAACTTCTACTCTAAACCAATCAAAATCGAGACTAGCGAATCAAAAGGTCTTTTAGGGTTATAACGTAGGCTCTTTGGATAGGTAGGATAAATATAGACTGATACAGCCATATGATGATATACCGGCCCAAACACTTGTTACTCGACCCAGAGAGCGCTTCAAGCCGACGGTACGTCAACCGGGTAACACCAAAGTCGAGATACCCAAGTTGACCTCTTGATAATCGACTTCCTCTTGAACCAACTTAAGGGAGAGCTGTTTCTACCCAAGTCGACGACCTCAAAGTCGACCCTTGTTGAGAAGACGAACAAGCGTAGCCTCCGAATATGCACATGAATTCTAAGTCGACCTCGCAGTGCTCGAGGTCGACTCAATACATCTCGAGACGAAGGAGGTGCTAACGACTCAACACACTTGTAACATGTCTAAAGCCTCGTATCTTCTAGTGGATAAGAAAATGACTCAGCAAGGAGGGGAGGCGAATCGACCAGGGCAAATTAGACTTTTCAGGTAAACCGACCGGGGCATTTTGGGTACTTGAAGTAAGAGTTTCCTCCTATATAAAGGAGGAGAGGTAACCCTAAACCCTAACTTCCATTTATTCACTCTCCCATATAGCTGCTGCTGCTCTCTTAGAGCAACCTCTCTTCATCTCTTTCACATATTGACTTGAGCGTCGGAGGCTCTACGCCGGAAACACGTCCGGCGTTAAGTTCTTGCAGGTGTTTGCGGCTGTCTAGCAACGATTCGAGGGCGATTCAAGCAGATCTGAGCTCAAAACCATTGGTTCTCTTCAGATCCAGAAGTAGACTCATCATTTTGGCGTCGTCTGTGGGGAGCTCTTGAAGGAACTAAGAGCTTTGCACCTAGCTCCGATCTGTTTCTGATGGCTGAGAAGGAAGGTTTGCAGAGGAACTTGAGTGAGGAGTTTAGGGGAGCTTGGACAGATAGGAGACCACCACCCGTCTCTACCCCTAGACCTTCAGTGATGCAGATGATGGGATTGCCACCATTTGGAAGACTGCCGCCACCGGGAATGAATCTGGGTGGAGAAACACCCGTCACTCCACCTGGAGTGAAGATGCAAGTGTTGACCCAAGTATGAACAAGTCAAACACTAAACCTTAATTCAGGTGTTGGGGAGAAGGAGCCAACGGAGATGTCTCGACGTGAGGAAGCAAATTCAGGAGGTGCCGGAGCAGACACAAACACAACCCCGGTTCGAGGAGCAAACACTGATGATAACGAGGAGCGAGATGCAAAAGATGATTGCCGAAGCTGTGGCCGTCCAGATAAAATAAGCGGTTCAAGTTGAGCAGAATTCGCGGGTCGAGCAGAATCCCAAGTCGAGCAGAACCCGTGAGTCGAGTAGCAGCCTTGCGTCGAACAACACGCTCAATCGAACGAACAGCAAAACAGAAGGGTGGACGAAGAAGCGTCTTCCATTGTACGAAGAGGTCCAAGTGAAGCCGAAGAAGAGCGACCTGAGGAGGTCTAGACGAGACTTGAAGGTCTCTGTGACTGAGTATGAGAAGCTCCACACGACTAAGTGTGGGAAGTAGACATGCTCTCTGTGACTGAGTATGAGAAGCTGCACACGACTAAGTATGGAAAGTAGACATGCTCTCTGTAATTGAGTATGAGAAGTTCGAGCTGCTCTAAGAAGATAAGTAGAGGTCATCTCGACCTGCTAGACCTGCTAGAGGTCATTTCGACCTGCTAGACTTGTCAGAGGTCATCTCGACCTGCTAGACCTGCCAGAGGTCATCTCGACCTGCTAAACCTACCAGAGGTCATCTTGACATGCTAGACTTGCTAGAGGTCATCTCGACCTGCTAGACTAGCTAGAGGTCAATCTGCTAGACCGGCTAAAGGTCCCTGTGACTAGAGCTCTCCGCTACTAGACCTCTCTGTGACTAGAAGAGCATGATCTAGAAGGTAGATGGAATGCCAACTGACTAGGGCATTTTGGACACTTCAGGTAAACCGACCAGGGCATTTTGGGTACTTCAAGCAAGTATTTCTTTTCATATAAAGAGGGTGAGGAACCCTAAACCCTAACCTCTACTCATTCTACACACATCTCTCTGCTGCTGCTGCTCTCTGAGAGCAGCTCTCTTCCCCATATTCTATGCATTTCTACATGCATTACAGCTCTACATTACAGAGCTTCATCATGCTCTCCTCTGTTTACTGACTTGAGCGTCGGAGGCCCGACGCCGGGACCTCTCCTGGCGTTGGGTTCTTGCAGGTGTTTGCGGTAGTCTAGCAACGATTTGAAGGCGGTTCAAACAGATCGGAGCTCA